GCTGATTTCAAACAGGTGTGGGGCCAATTCAGGGAAATTGTGGAAATCAATTGCTATTAGCTTGGATGGTAGTCAAACTGCTGCTGAAGAAGCTACTTGGATAAGCAGCAAAATGTTTTGAGCCAACAGGGAAAGAAGTCCAAGTGCTATGATTCAACTTCCAGACAATTCTATATGGATGAATGAAAATCTTCATTGATAATTCTGGTGGCAGTTGATGGGATCTTATCTGTCTCCTGAAGGGATTTTTTTCCCCTGGCTTTTGCCCTGCTTAAGTGCCTGTTTAATTTTAGGTATGCAGCTTCATCCTAGTCTCAAACTATCAGGATGCCAAAATATGGCCAGATCTCAGTATTAAGATCAATAGATTAGCACAGCATACTATCGACTTGTTCAGTTTCAAGCAATAGGGTACTTCTGCTTAGCAAAAAAGTCAGCATAACTTTTTATGGACAGATTATTGTCTATTTCAGATGGAATTTAAAGCAGGGAGAAATACTGTATATTGCCTATGGGGACTTATCCTCTGGCCTGCTGGGAACCTCATCCAAGTTTACTTTATTTTAAGAAGTTTTAGTTAAAAAAAAATCAAACGAGACTGATGGATGCCAAAGAAAAGGGTGCAAATTGGATTCTAGCACAGAGGAGCATGAAAACTAGGTTACTTAAGAAGTCCTTTCACTGATTATTAGGGTCTTGCTCTCAAAATAGCTATCTAAGAGTAGAAGAAAGTTATTTTTCATTCCTTCTGTTATAGAATTCCTTTATGATTTTATTTTATTTTGCTTATGTTTGTTCAATAACTTTTAAGTAGGGAGCATTCCTGAGTGAGTTCATATTTTGTTGCAGGCATCAAAATGGTTTTTTAAAACTCCTTTAAATCATTAAATCAGCTTAAGCCATTTAAACAATTAAGATTAAATGCAAAACTACCAGAGATCTTGCAAGATTGGGCTTTGGGATGTTAACCAAAGCCTCAGCTGTGTTCTGTTTTCCCATCACTAATCTATACGCATATATAAATACTACTCATGCATCATCACAAAATCTCCAGAACCGTAAAGCCTACAAACTTGAAATTTGGCACATATGTTCCTCTTGGCTTCTAGGTGCTCACTTGGAAAGGATTTTTTGAAATTACCATCAGAGCATTAGTATTTCATATATTATTATTAACATGCTCTGATGCTAAGGAGTTCTCCACCTGAAAAGAAATCTGTTCCAAATGCAAAACACAAGTAGAGAAGTTTCTGTTTTAGTTTCACAACAGCAACCAGCTTTAGTACAGAACAGTTGAGCTAAACCATGCCAGGCTCCTTGCTGTCTCTGCCTTGCTCACACATCAAATACTGTTTCAGTTTCCAAACAACCCTCAACCCAACAACCCTCTCTCACACACTGACAAGATGGTAGCCAGATGAATATCGATGAATGCTGGTAGTCAGAGGCACGATTTTTCCCCTTATTCTCCTCCCCCAAAACTAAGCCCGATTACACAATTTTGTAGCGAACCATGGGTATAGAGCTAGTGACCAAGTAAGTCATGTTGAAGCAAGGAAGGCAACTTTCATCTGTTTATTTCTGCAGAAATAGAGAATCTCATACTTGGGACAGGAGTCTAAATCAACCCTAGCTCCAAGTAAAACCTAGCTCAGATCTTTATACAAAATGTTTCTCTGTCATTTTACAATGTGTCATTATATGTAATTTCTTACACAAAGTTAGTGTTTATATTTGGTTGATTACATTTGTTCTGTTTGGTACAAGATTACATTTGCTGTAATGTAGAAGATGGTGAAATTTTCTCAATCCTATTATCGTCAGGAGTTTTCTGCTGCATGACTGTAGTTTCTCAGTTTTGCAAAGAAGCTGACAAAGAAAAGGGTAACTTAAGACAGCCTGGTGGGTAATTTAATCAGTGCTAATATTTCTATATAATTTTATCAATTCCTGGATAACTTGGTGTTCAAAACATTATTTGAGACATTTTCTTATGAATAGGATTTCTTTCTCATAAAAGTGATAACTTTTATCAAGGATTTAAAGGGACTTTAAAGGATTCCATTATTTTTATATTCTTCATCATTTTATGTTCTTAAGCTGCCATCAGGCTATTGGGGGACTCTTTTTAAATCCCTGATATTGTTTTATATTTTGGACTTAACTTCCATTTAGGGGCACAGTAGACCCCAACCAACCAATGACCACCTTATTTCTTCACTGCAGGTCTTTAAAAATGAATCGTTTAAACTTGCCTTTCCCAAATAGGTAATTAATTGCTGTCACATTCATCATATTTGACATCTGGCTGAATTTCCAAATCATACATATTGCTAAGCCCAGTTTGTTGAATAAGCCTCCAAGAGTCGGCTTCAGAAAACACAGTAAAATATTAGTCTATGATTTACAAACCACAATATTATGTTCATGCAACTTAACTAAGCCAAAATAAAACAAACCACATTATCACACACTGCAGTATACAGAACCCAGGTTTTATTGCTGGAAAGTGGTTATTAAATATATTTTTACAACATATACAAATCGTAGCTATAAATAGCACAACTTTGCTGATCAAGCAAAAATATGTTTGTAAGCTGTCTACTTTGAAATATACTATGTAGAGAAAGCAGGATGAAATTTAATAAAACAAGGGACATGATATTATTTTATTTATTCGCATCCATCTCTATTCCTCTAAAAGTTCTTACTGAATTTCTTGATATATGAGTTACAAAGTACCGCATGTGAGGGCTCTTCCACAAATTTGTTATTTTTACTTTTCTAATTTTTCCTTTTGTCACTGTTGTCAAGTTATGGCTCCATTTATTTTAATAGTACTTTTTTAAATAAAATTTTATTGATTTTTTTAAAAACAAACAAAACATAAAAAATCTTTTTTGAAAGCAGCTTGATCCCGGGTTACATCTCTTCGTACAGACACAAATTCAAGTTTATGCTCATTTTTATATATCATTCCATATCTTATTACCATTCTACATTTTCTATATAGCTTCTCCCCTCTTTTAACTTTCTTAATTTTATTTTATTTATTTCATCTCAATTCAGATCATTATACTTACATTCTTTGTCCTGTTTCAGCTGTCTATTATCTTTTCTCATTAAACAAAATTTCTCCTGTAATCACTGATTGGAGTATGACGCCTTTATATCTTTCCCCTAAATTTATAACACTTAATATAATACATAACTTCCATTCGGATTCTGCTTAGTACATTCTAAAGCTACACACTATATTTTAAAAAGAGAAAAAATTATAAATATATAATATAATTAGAACAACCCATACCAGTTCAATTCTATCATTAATATTAATATTCATTTAAATCTTAAACATTTTACACATTACTTTTCAAATAGGTATCATGCTTCTATGGGAACACTTATAAACTTTCCATAACTACTTCCCCCCCCCCTTCACTTATATTTTAAAACATTGTGTCATTAAAATGTTCCCATTCCTTCCTAATTCAATACTCTCATTTATTTCATTTCATTTATTTTGTTCACAAAAGTTTCACTGAATTACACTGAGTATTTTATCCCACTTTTTAATCATATGTTGTTTCCAATTTTTCTAACATTATTTCTAATACAAATATGACAATACAATCTTATGTACCTTTGCAGAATCGCTTTTTCAATTAAATTTTTACCCATTATCTCTGAATAAGTCCTGTTTCTTTACATCTTGCTCCACATCTTTGTAGCTTCTCTTCCCTTCCTCCCTCCCTTCCTTCTTCTCTCTGCCCTTTTTACCTACTTGTCTCTCCACCTCCATTTCCCTCTTCTGTGTTCTCCTTTTCTGTTGCTTTCTAACATTATATCCACTTTTCACCTTCTTTTTCCCTTTTTTGGCTGTTTTTTTAGATCTTAAATTCTCCATTCTCTTTCCCCCCTCCCTTTATTTCCCAAGTAAAGTTACTTGTTCATTAAAGATGGCTTCTTCTTTGTCCCAATCTTCTTGTTGCGCAGTCTTGTAGTTTCTCGTAGGTACAGATCGCCATTTCTAAAAATTGAAAAACGGAGCCAAGAGAGCCCTTCCCCTCTTGTTCCTCTTCTTTATATTTTTAAAATTCCATTTTCAGTTCATCCACAAGTGATGCCATTGTAAAAAAAATTGTAAACAACCACCCGAGTGTTTTTAATCATTCAAATATAATTTCCAGAAGTCCCAAAGTCACCAAGCAATCCAAATACACACAAGCTGTTTCTTTTAACACTTTCTTCTTTTTTCACTTTCTCTTCCTGGGGTTACTATTTAGTTACAAAATTCCAGTTAAAATGTTTCTTTTAGAAGTCTTGTTAAGATTTAACTTTAGATGCTTTGAATTCAGGCAGCCTCCTCCTTCCAGATCTTACTCTTATTCTTTTCTTCTCCCTTCCCACTTACAGCAAAGAAAAAGAATTTTTTTACTGTTCAGAAATCTTTATTGTCCCCTTGGCATTTAATTTGCCAGTTTAATTACCTGTCGATGCCAAAGTGGATTTTGCCGATTTCTCATTCATCTCTGTTCGCTGTCAATGTAAGGAAGGAGAGTGAAAAAAAAAAAACCTTTTCCTTTTCACTTTCATTCGCTGCTTCCAAATCCTCTTTGGGGGCGATGTATCTTTTTTGAAATTTAAATTCCAGGATACCTTAATTGTTGCTTTTTATCCAGGTCAGCCAAAACTTTCACTTCTTAACTTCCTCCTACACTTTCTTTTCTGGATGAGTGCTTCTTTGAGGCGGCCATTTCTGACTGCCGCTCTTACCTTCGGGAAAGGGAGTTTAGCCAGCTGAGGAGGAAAGATGCGGCTTTCCTTGACCCTGCTGGAATCTCCCCCCTCTTGACCACCTCTACGTGGTGGCTTAGCCCCGAAGCCAGTTGGCTCAGGGCGCTCCAGCGGCAAGCCCAGGCAGAAACCATGCACAATCGCGGATTCCTGCCTGCCGCCGAAGCCCTGCAAACCGGAAGCTATATTATTTTAATAGTACTTTAATACCTCTTCATATACTCTGAAATAATTGTCACTGAAGTATATTCATTTGCAAATATATAATGCTACATCTGCTCAATATCCCCCACAGTGTTTTTTATCATTATGCTTCTATTCTGATTTTCACAGGTGGCACACATGGAACCCCTATCAATCCTAAAAGGTATCTGGGTTGAATGTAAATAGGAAATGCTTTGGCCATAACTTTGGGCATCAGTTGTAAATCCACTGCTCAGCACTGCCATAACTGCGAATGGATGCTGAACTCACTATTGTATGTCAAGGGCAATCCGTAACTGGCTATGCAGGGATTATGATATATGACAATATTTATACATCCCAAACCCAAACCTTCTTTTGAAACTCTGCATCTCCTAACCTCCATCCAATGACAGTGCAAGCTTCCAACATGCTCACCCTGTGTAAGACTCATTCCCATTCAGAAAACAGGAAAAGATGAGGCATTTGATAATTCAAACAGCAAATCTTAAAGAGTGTTTAGAGGCAAATGCTTATTAAGATAATTTACAATTGTGGCATAAAGTTAATTCCTATGAATATCATTTATAGTTAAACCCTCACCAGCATTTAAACCATAAATCCAAAAAGCAGGGTAAACTGGCTTTGCTGCATTGATTTCAAACTTGTGTAAGAACGTTTCTTTATCGGTGAGAGAATAAAAAGAAACACTTTTTGTTGGAAAGTCAAGGAAAACTCCGACCCGCAAAGGTTTATCTACGACGTCAATGTTGTTTTCTTGCCCGTTGTGCCATGCTGAGATATGTTGAACATTGCATTCAATGCACCAGGATAATTCATTCCTCCCTAGTCGGTCTCTTCTGCCAATGTCCCCACTGGCAACACCAATGGCCCATAGAGAAGATTCCTCAGTGTTTATTTCCCAGTAATGGCGGCCTTCAGAGAAACTCTGAGAACCCAGCACCTGACTGCTGCAGAATCTCTTAGTGGAATGTTTATATTCTTTGCGAGTACGAGACACTCTCACTTTCCTTTTATTGCCTGTGAGCTCAAGACTGCAACCAAGAGTTTCATCGTCAAATGTTATAATGGACATCCCTAAGTGAAGTAAAATTAAAAACATTCAGATCTCTAGCAGCCTTAAATCAAGGAGATATGTTCATAGTTCAAAACCCATTTTCTCTACCTGCAACCCTTTTGCCTTAAGTCTGGATAATGCAGCTTACTTTGACCAGTGAGTTGAAATTTATTTATTTATTGGTTGATTGATTGACCAAATTGGGCCAAGTAAATACATAAAATAATAACACAACATGCATTAAACTAGTTTATAGGAGATTAAAACTTATAAAAAATTGTTATAAAAGTCCACATAATTTTGAAAAACATACCACTGCTATGTGCTACATAACCAAATAAATTATTGCCCAAGACCTCTGAAAACTAACCTCATTTTGTTTTATTAACACCAGTACATTTATTTAATAGATATATATCATTCTTTCTAAAAAAGCAAAATAAAACGTGCTGTTAAATGGAATATAAATTATCCGTTTCAGAAAAAAAACTAGTTTGAAATACCAATTCAACAACTGGTTTTCAAATTATTTTTGAAAGAGAAAGTTTTGTATGTTTCATCTATAGATCTCAATATTACTCTTTTGTCTGTGCAGCAATATACATACTTACACTGAGAAAATCTACTTGAAATCATTGGCAATTCTCTATCCCTTGGAGATGGTGCTGCTGATGAAGAGCTGCTTGCTTCCTGGATGGAATCATTCCTTGGGACTGTAAAAATTATTCAATTTTTTTGCAGTGTTTTGCAACTCACAGTAACTTAAATATAGGTAGGCAACATGCTGCCCATGGTCATTGCCCTAGGCATGGGTGACAGTTCTGTCCTATTTCCTGCTAAGTGTCTCTCTCTAGTATCATTTTAATTTCCAAGAACAGCACTCAGTATCACATGGATCCCAGAGACAGCCTTAGAAATTTAAAAAACACTTTTTTGCCTTTTAATGAGTGATCAGTGATGATGAATCTTTTAGATTTGGTGTCAAAAAAATAAAAAAATTCAGAAAATGCCCACCTTGACTCTGTTGGCATGTTTCACACATACACAAACACCCACCCACACCTCACCCTGGACAAAAGAAACCTCTGGACCTTCTCACCTCTGGACTCTCTAGAACAGAGGCTGCCAACCTTTTAGTCTAACAAAGACTAGCTAGAAAGCAAGAAATCCAGCCATTTCCTGCTTCCTAGCTAATCTAAATCTCCTGGCACAGCAAAACAGATGATGGTTGGAAAAAGGAAAAATAGCAATTTAGCAGGCAAGTTTACCGGGTAAGGAGTGTTCCCACGGGGGGAGGGTTCCCACAAACCATGTGGGCAACGCAGCAGTCTTGTGTTTCTGTGCAGCTTGGATTTGTGGGGGTGCTCTGGGGATGAGATTTCTCTGCGGCCCACCAAAATTTTCTCACGGCCCACCAGTTGACGACTGATTGACGACTGCTGCTCTAGAAGACACGCATCTTCTGGAGCCTCAGAAAATTTTGCGAGAATTATTGTGCAATTTTCAGATGCCTCAGGGGCTGTGCAAGAGTAAGGTCTTCTAGCACAACTTTCAGAGGATCTAGACTAGAGGCCTGATGTGTCACCATTAATGTCACCTGTGACACTGGTGTCATACATTTGACATCACTGATCTAGATGATGTTTTTTCATCCAATTGGGAGGCCAGTTGTACAGATCCCAACTGGGAAACCCGGTAATGGGTTCCAGGGTATCACAACTGGAGAAATCCCCAAAGGATTGTTTAGAGTAATAAATGACAGAGCCAGTCAAGCAGATAATGATAAGAGTCCTAGATCAGTATAAGCCCAATGCTCCCAAGCCAGCCACAAGTACTCACAATATTTCTCCCTCTCATATAAACCGTGTAACAATCAGGAGATGTCCAGACAAACAAGTGATTAAGAATACTATTATTATTTTATTCCACAATGATACTTATGCTAAGCATATTGAATCCTGTATATTAATCCCATGTTATTCCTATGATTGTGATTTGAGCTAATTAACGTGCACAAATTTGTACTTTATAATAATTTGTACTCTTAAAAAAAGAGCTAACAAGTGTTTGTGTTTTGTTCAATCAAATCAGGAATGTCAGAACATCAGAACAACATGGATAAGCAATGGAATGTGGAAAATGGAATAATTGGAAGAATTAAGTGGAATAATTAACATGATCTCCTTCAAAATTAATTAAAGTTAATAAAACTACCTACAGGAATCACTGGAAAGGAACATTTCTTCTGCTCCATCATCTGTAACTTCACTATTGTTGCTGGTTCCAGGAAAAGGTTCTATTACAGTAAAAAAAAAAAAATCCAGGCTGTTAGTTACTGACACTAGAAATCGGCGTGGCAGAACACAAGTAGCTGCTTATGTTTCAGCTTCAATCTCAGCTTAAGAAGGAGACCTCCCTGATCCATTTTGGGAGGTTCCCGTATCACTTTGATCAGTCCTTCATTTCAGAGAAAAGCCATTTTGACAGGAAATGGGATCATCCATAGGACGTTTTCAGTTCAAACTGAATGAGGGAGCTAATGGCTGTCCACAGGTTGCATAAGAACCACTTATACCCATTATCCACAGCCAATGGCAAGGAATGAAGGGACTTGTGATTCATTAGCATCCAGAGCCACTTATTCTACCTAAACGAAGAGTTTTGGAGATACAGCTACTATTGCTTAAGGAGACAGATTCACGTCTAGACTTGGCAGCTGCTAATTCCTATTGCAAGGATAAGATATTGAAAAGCATTCAGGAAAAATGAAGGCATCCTACAATGACGATTTGTCTCACTGGAATTCCCCAAACTGAGTACAGAATATAGGCCAGGACCTCCATACGCTATAAAGTCTACAGCTAGCAATCGGATCAAACATGGTCTGACCTTTCACTGAGCAATTGAAATTTAAATACACTCTTACCCATAGGATATATTTCTTTGAAATATTACAAGATTTTTTTAAAAAAGCTTGCATAACATAATAGAAGGTACTATTCATTGTTAAACAGCAAAGCCCTTTTATTTATAAAGTTTCTAGCACCTACAGTAACAATGTCCCAAAGGGGCTTTTTCAAGAGGCAACTGGACTTTCTGGTTTTTCTTTGAAGACGTTTCTTACTGACTCTCTAAAAGATTGCAAATGACCAGCTGTCTGCAAGGAGTATAAATCCTTCTGTTCCCCACCATCCAGTCAGAGCGGAAGATTCTTGGATGAGAAGTGAAATGTCTTCAGAGAAAAACTAAGAAAGTCCAGTTGCCTCTTGAAAAAGCACCTTTGGGACAACCATGACCTGGATGACTGAGAATCTCCATAGACATCTACAGTAATAATCAACTTGACCATAAAGAGAAGCAAAACTCTGTTGAAGTGATTCCATGTCCATCTTGCCAGTTAGTTCAGCATATTGATAAAGTTCGAAAAAGTGCCTGCCAAACAACAGACAATACACTTTAGGGATGCTTATGGGTGAGGTCACTTAAAGTAAAAGGTAATAATAATATGGATATAAAGGATCAGAAGGAACAAAATAAGATTCAATAACCAATAGTAAAAACAGTAGTATTTTCAAAGGTTTGCAAAAATGATGTATAAGGACTCCTGCCTTGGGCAGGGGGTTGGATTAGAAGACCTCCAAGGGTCCCTTCCAGCCATATGATTTTATTTCCATCGTGCCCTATTTATTCGCTACCCAGGAGAATTTGGTAGCTACAGAACACCAGTCATGGTAAGATCTAATCCAGCCACACCATCTTTCTCATGTTTAGCATCAGATTAGAATAACTATGCCAGACCATAGTGGTTTTATTTCCCTAGTGATATTCAAAGCCTTGTAATAAGTCAGCACATGTTTACTCTTAATGTAAGAGGGCAATGAAAATTCCACCAACTCTGAGATGGCTGCGCTGGGAAATTCTTCAAAATTGCTGCTTCCAGCTGTCTCCTTAACTCTTCAACAGCACTAGCAATATCGCTGATCTTCTGAAAGGGATCACCAATATAAGCTGCTTGCCCTGATGACATTTTCTAACAATTAAGAAATAAATCAAGAATTAAACAAGGCACCAGCAACATTTCAATAAATATTTCTATCAATTCTGTAATTAGAATCTGAATAATAGAACTTTTTTTTTTCTTCCCAGTGTTTCCCTGCGAGCAGAGAATCTGTTGGTTTGGCTTTTGTTTTTTTGGACCAAGTGTTGATCCATTGGTTGTGACAGGAACTGACAGACTGGCTTGTCACCAGAATCCAATGTTGTGGGCTGAGAGAGAGTGACTGGTCCAAGTCACCCAGTCAACGTTGCACCCAAAACTCACAGTCTCCTGGTTTCTAGCCTTACGCTATAATCACTAGACTAAATTCTAGCCTTATGCTTTAACCACTACCCTAACCAACTGATAATAGAGCAGATGAGAGAGAAAAAATGAAATTAATTCTCAAGAAGATGGAAATCCTGTAGACAAGGAAAAGATTTTGAGTTTCAACCATGTTTTAGATGGAGTTGCACTCCTAGTGTGAGCAGCTTTACAGTTTGGGAGTATTGCTTGAATGTCACACCTGCTAGTTAGGTTTGCAGATTATGAGTATTGTAAACCTTTGGTAGGAAATGTACCAACTCCAGTCTTCCCTCAGTTGATTGGACTTAGTGACAGTTGGAACTGATCTTGATCAACCCTATTGGCATTATTATGGAGCTACCCATAAAAATGTCTGCTAAAGTAGCCTCAGAATAAAGTAGAACTAGATCATCTGATTGTACTTTCTTGTCTGATCTATCTGGGAAGGCTGATATCAGTCTTGAAGTCTGTACAAATTTTCCAAGGTCATTCTCACATACCATTATATGTGATCACAATTTGGGTCTTGGTGTCCTGCAATCATTGTCATTTATAACCTTCATTGCTGGCTTCTAGCAAGTCAACGAGGAAGCCAGCAGGAGGTCAAAAATCCAATCACATGACATCATGCCTAATAACCATATAGGGTTCACCTAAGAACAGCATTTGAGACTGCCTGAATTGCCATGTCAATTCTTGCAGCATGGAGAAAATGAGATTTTAATACTGTATTTTTTTGCATATACTCAGAAGTAAGCAAAAGAAAAAAAAAGAGGAGAAGCAGCACTGGTAACAGCCTGTGATCTATAGTATAGAGTATTCAGAACTCTGGGTAGGGCTGGAGGGGAAAAAAAACCCCTAGATTACTATACTGAGAAGCCAACCCAATACTGTAGTATAGCTATATACTTCTTTACATACATGTATCTATTGTTTGAAATCATGACATCTGTGCTGGGCCAGCCAGTCTATGGGAATTGGATAGTTACTTAGGAAATATGAGCTGTCCCCTTAAGCGAATGCATCATGGTAAATGTAGTTAAAGGTATCCTGGGAAATGTAGTTCATGTCATGTGGCCACATCTGTAATCCTGATTGGTCACTAAATTGACCCTCCAGGGATTGGGGGAGTTTTTCCTCACTTTGCCTGAATTCTCTAACTCATGGCAGCTGCTTTCTATTGCTACGAGATGGGTTAGGAGATAACCATCTTTTACTACAAGGCAGATATGCAAAGGATTGGTCATTAAAGAAAATTTTTGTCACAAATGTGAGTTATGAGGATACCTGATGAACCAATAAATGTACTTTGTTATGGATGTCTTGTTGAGTTTATCTATCTGCACAGTTTAAAAATCCACTACTGTGCAGAAGACAGAAAAGTAAAAGATGGTAAAAGATAAAAGCAAAAGATAAGTTAGAGAATTAAGGCAAAGTGAGGAAAAACTCCCCCAACCCATCGAGGGTCAAATTAGTGACCAATTGGAATTACAGATGTGGCCACTTGACATGAACTACATTTCCCAGGATACCTTAACTACATTTACCAAGATGCATTCCCTTAAGGGGACAGCTCATAATTCATTAGTAACTATCCAATTCCCATAGACTGGCTGGGACAGCACAACATCTCTGTCCATTAACAGCAGTCAGAATGCCTTCCAAATTACATTTTTAGGATCATCAAATTTAATAACTAAAAACCAACCTATTCTGCAATGGAAGGTCCACCAAAGCACATTAGCACCCAATTCCTACTCTTGTTTGTTCAGAAATAGTTCTAGGACTTTCAGTGTTTTAAATATGTTCACAGTTTTGTAAGATGAGCGACCATGTAAATAGGATACATTAATAAATAAAATAGATATTCATGGTACCGTTAATGCAATGATTTACCTTAACTTCCTCAAATTTCTTGTGCAAATCCAAAATGTTGTGATTTTTTTCGTTGAGCTGCTTGTCAGTGGAGTCTGTTATTTGTTGAGCCACTTTCCATTCTTCTTCAATGATCCTTAGCACCACTTCCTCTTGATCACAAATGCACTTTTTCATAAAACTGAAGGCTTCTGAAATAGAGCTTCTGGTTTGAAGTATATAATCCTAAAATCAGAAAAGAGACTGTTGCGGATGAAAGATCTCTATACAGAAATCTGAAAGTTTTCAATGTTTAATTTTTTTCCCTTTACAATTCCATCAGAAAGCTTCAACAGTTTGAGAGCTAAACCAGCTCCTCTCACAATCCAGCATTCTCATCACTGCTTAAAAGTAAGTAGTACTTTTTTGGGATCAAACTCCAAATTGACTCAAACTCAGCTCTTGCTGACTTCACAATCACATCTAGGAAGTTTCTGGGCACACACTTCTTCCAGAAATGGTTTCAATTTCTAGTCTGTTGTCACAGTTTTCTACCCATGTACTAACTAGGCCCAGCCCCTGCTGATTTTTCTGAGATCAGCCAAGAACAAGTAGGTGGCTTCAGCTGGCAACGTCTTTGTATGTTGCTTTTGGAAAAGTAAAACCAGGCCGCTCACAACTGTCTCCTTTCTTTTAATGACTGCTCTTCCAGGAAATGCAGAAAAAGCAGTTCAGAAAATGCCAAAGGGAATAAATTAGTAACAGAAAGAGAAACAGAAATAAATACTGGGCAATGTCCAGACAGAGTGTTTGCACTCTTTCAACTAGCCTCGGCCTCTCTGGGTCCATTTTCCAAGCATGTTCTGAATACTGGGGGGAAGGCCTTGTTTAGTGTTACATTGATCTCACTGCTCTACAAAGACAGCCTCCCACTTAGGATGAAGCACAGGAACTGGGCAACTCCTCAGTGCCATCAGGGCTGTTTTTTTCTGGAGGGCAACCTTTAGTGTCAACTGGAAGTTGACTTCTCTGAGAGCCTGGATTTCTTCTGTGAATGTCTGGTAGATCTGGGGACACATACCCTTCAAGCCAACTAACTGTTCTTGGGTCTACGTTGAACAGGTGGCCTTGATACACATCCATCTGCCAACCCCCAGGTAGTTCCCTATTACCCACTGCATATGCCTGAAGACAAGCTTGCCTGTCTTCTTTTGTTTTTGTTCCAGGATCTCCTTCTGATAGTCCTGGGTAGTTCAGAATGTTTTAGAGGGGGGATTGTGGGTCAGACACCTCTTGAATAGCCTTCCTTCTCCTCTCCTTCATATATGGAGGAACAGAAGACCAGTATTCTCTCGCAAGCAGTGACTTGAGCAGGTACAGTTTCATTGCTCCCAAAACGGGAGCTCATCCAAGATGTTGTGAACATCACTGGAGTAGTTCCCATGTTAGCATTTCAGCCAGCAGCTGGTCAATATAGTCATCCATATTCACCATGCTGCAGATGGATATACCTAATCCTAAAGTGTCTCTAATTGGAAAGTTCAGAGTGGATCAATTGCAACCAGAACTCAGCCTGAAAAATCCTTTGCTTTTGTCAGGCCTTAACCATCTCGTTTACACACTCACACAGCTCTGACACAATGAGAAACAGTTTATCACACCTACTCCACACCTGATGCAGGGCTTTGTGCCACTGACCCTCTGCCATTAACCCTAACCGTTGATTATAACAGATCAGATCTACTGTCTCATAAAAAATAATTTGCCTTCTATTCTGTTATAGTACAGACACTGCAGAAATGGTCACACAAATGTTGCAGAATGGAACGACTTATGGCAAAAAATGCTGAAAATGTTCTACTGATTCAGGATTTCTAAATCAAATATAACTTTTAAGAAAACAAGGCACACTGTACAATTTTCACACATATATCCAGCTAAATTATTTGGATCCCTCAAAGCTTAAATACTTCATTGCATCGTAAATAAGTCTCTTTAAAAGGGCCCAAATCCAATACAGTTTTGACTTCAAAGCCATGAAAGAAGAAATAAACAATTGAAAAAAAGCTGGAAGCAAGTAACTGGTTCGGGAACAGAGGACAAACGGGAGAAACCAGTTATCTGCTTTTTGATTACTGGTTTACTAAGGAAGAAGGCTTTCAAACATACTTCAGGGGTCATCGATGCAGAAGATCCCAGGTTCAAATTTTAGCCCTGAATAGGACATCCAGAGCAGCCCCTGGGAGTTGTATGTGTGCCTCTAGGTCCCACCGAAGGAGCCACAAACTGCCTCTTTCCAGAAGTAGGATAGCTAGAGAGGATGGAAGCAGTTTTCCATCTTGAAAGAGAAAGGCTAGAGAAGGCTACTTAGATTTAGGCTTAAACTTTAGAGTTTAGACAATACTAAGGCTCCAAGGCTCACGCTGGCTAATGCAGCAAAATGAGGTTAATCCAAGGAGTAACCCTTCCTTTATCCAAAAATGTCCATCCTATCAATGGCAAGCTGTTTCCTTACAGTGCATCTGTGCATACACGGGTATACATCAGTGGTGGGATTCAAATTTTTTTACTACCGATTCTGTGGGTGTGGCTTGGTGGGCATGGTGTGGCTTGGTGGGCGTGGCTTGGTGGGCATAGCAGGGGAAAAGGATACCGTAAAATTCCCATTCCCACCCCACTCTTGGGTGAAGGTTACCGCAAAATCCCATTCCCGCCCCACCCCACTAACCTGCTTTCCAGCTCCTTTCTCCTGTGCAGGGCAACAAAAGAAAAGCCAGCCAATCAGCTGGGACTCAATGGGAGGCCGAGAATAGATGGGGGTGGGGCCAGTCAGAGGTGGCATTTGCAGGTTCTCCAAGCTACTCAAAATTCAGAACCTGCTGAGTACCACCTCTGGTATACATACACAGAATTAAAATGTGTGCAGACGTAATAACTTTTCCCCAACCAATCTATATCTGCATTTCATGCTGCAGTTAAGAAGGAAGAGACTGGCTTGCCTTAGAAGCTTAGAATAACACTGATAGGACCGAAAGCCACCCAGCTGGTCAACAACCCCATGAAGAATCAAGGCTAGACCCCGATCTTAGACACGCCAAGAGTCCGTTCTTTCTCACCTGAAAACCGCGCGCGGCAAGGGGGAAGTCGCGCTCCGCCAGACACGAGGTTCCCGTGGGAAGCGGGTCGCTGGAGGCTAAGCAGTTATACTTTTCAAGGATCGAGTTCAGCAAGACGGTGCGCTCGGGCAACTTGCAGTCCACATGGCTCTTGCAGATAGGGCACTCTCGGTGCTGGCCCTCCACCCATTTTCGGATGCACTCCAGGCAGAAGCTGTGGCCGCACTCCACCGTGGCCGGGTTGCTGAGCAGATCCAGGCAGATGGAGCACTGCAGGTCCTCCGCCGTCAGCCACACGGGCATCGGCGCCTGGACAGCAGAAGCCATAGCTATATCCTCCGCTGACTGTGTCCCAGAGTTTATTCACCCCCGCGCTGGCCACGCCAGCTGGACGGCTTTTCCCGGAGCGCTGCGAGAAACAAAACAGAAACCGGCGGCTCAGGCGGAAGTCACCCCGACTGGCTCCAAAGAGAACCGGAACGACGCGGATCGAGTTAGTTTTCTCCCTCCTGCGACGCTGTTTTGCGTGTTCATTTAATACCGAGTAAAACTATTGTTGTCGCCTAGATGGAAGAAAAGACCCTTCCATCCATGCCTGCCTGCCTTCTGGCCAGTTTTTGACTCCTGACAACTACCTGGTCTCATCCCTGCAGTTTTCCTGGCAAGTCCTAAAGGTGGTTTTGTCAAGAGGCAACTGGGGCAAACATGACCTGGATGGCTGAGAATCTCCATAGACATTTTCCTGGCAAGTTTTTCAGAAGTGATCAGAAATGGTATAGGGTCTCCTGCTTAAGCAGATGATCTACAAAGGTCCCTTTCAACTCTGTTGTTCTGGATTTCTACGTGGTTTGCCAATGCCTCCTTTTAAGGGCTGAGAGAAAGTGACTAGCCAGGTTATCCCTAAGGCGGAATTAAAACTCACATTTTTCTGAAGTACAGTAAATACCGATAGAAGAGGATATTTGTAGCTCAGGCTTGAAACTTTACAGTAAGAAAAGTATTTATCAAGTGTGCCGATTCAACAGAAAATTTGGGCTCAATTGTGATTGTAAATCGAGGTCTACCTGAATGCTGATAATGTACTTTTCTATTGTGTGGTTCACCTTGGAATATTTATCGATGCAACTAAAAGGGCAGCATATGGAGAAAATAATTGATTTTCCAGCAGCAGTTGTTTATCAAGACATTTATTTTCTTTTTTACTGCTGTTCCTACGGAAAATGTGACACGGAGGAGGCTCCTTCCCAGGGGGCAAATCATAGTTTCCTATTATTTTAGTATGACAACAGCCACTCTATTTCACTTAAGAGGTGGGGTAGACAAAGGATAAATTTCCAAAAAATTAATTCAAAGCACACAGGCATTTGGAATATAGCTATAAATATGCCTATAGTGCCAGATTAAGATACTTTTACTCCTCAAAAAACTCAAATTCATTATCCCAGACACTTTAGAAATTCTTGTTGTACCTATCAGCCAAGAATTCACAATTTCAATGTTCTATCCTCTTCCCCGTTCACAGTACCAACTGAAGATGGCTTGTGTGTGTATGCTTTTTACTTTAAAATACCTTCTGAATCAGACTTCCTCAACCTGGTGCCCTCAGCATGCATTACAGATTTCACATGGCTGCTGAGTGGGACTTTTTGGAAGATGGAATCTCAATCTGTTGGGCATGTGCATAAGTATGGTATTCTGTGCATTTCTCTTCGAAGTCAAAAGAGAGTTATCTGGAGCGTGCATAGTGTGACCCATCAGGAATTGGAAGAAGAGAAAACAAATCAAGTTTTGATTTTGGGATTTGAGGATTAGATCTGATTTGATTACATAATTCTGGATTCTTAATTTTATGGTTATGATTTATAATTGGTAGATTTGTTATACGTTAGACTAACTTTGAATTAAAACATGAATATTGGGGTTTTGCGAACATTGATGTTTTAAGGGTTTTCAGGTATTTATATTATTTAATTAACTTTAGGCCAAGGTTGTTGTATTATATAAGAGAATATACAATAAAATAAGAAAGTAAGAGGGTCAGTTTGGTTTAGGAGTGAAGACACCAGGCTAGAAAGTGGGAAACCCTGAGTTCAAGTTGTGTCTTAGCCAGGCATAGCAGCTGGGTGGCTTTGGACCAGTCCCTCTCTCTCACAGTCCCAGCCTACTTCACAGAGTTATTGTTAGGAAAATAGGAGGAGGGAGATGTGTTGGTTAATCCAAAGGTGCTTTTTCCGGAGGAAACTGGACTTTCTTGTTTTTTCTTTTGAAAACATTTCACTTCTCATCCAAGAAGCTTCTTCAGCACTGACAGGATAGTGGGGAATGGAAGGATTTATATTCCTTGCAGACACCTGGACATTTGCATCCTTTCAGAGGGTTGTTGAAGCACTTGGAGGTTTATCTGTGTCCTCAGGGTCACCTGAGTAGTGCTCCTGGTTCCTGTAGTCAGCAATTTTTTTCCCTCTGGAAATCCATTCCTACTCCCACAACCGTTCAAAGGATGTCCATCCCAAATTGTATAGCTAAAAGTATGTAGAGAATCTCAGTCATCCAGGTCATGGTTGTCCCAAAGGTGCTTTTTTTCAGGAGGTAACTGGGCTGTCTTGTTTTTTCTTTTGAAGACATTTTGCTTCTCATCCAAGAAGCTTCTTCAGATCATTGAAGCACTTGGAGGTTGTCCCAAAGGTGCCTTTTTTCACCTGCTCAGGTAACCCTGAGGACACAGATAAACCCCCAAGTCCCAAGTGCTTCAGTGTAGGACCCCGCAGACACAGGCATTCCGTTTCAGCAAAGGTGTCAGCTTAAGGAAGAAGACTGCTTTATACAAATGAGATAAGGTGTGGAAGAACACAAGAAGAACACGTGTGTGTGTGTGTGTGAGAGAGAGAGAGAGAGAGAGAGAGAAACCTCAGAACACAGAGGAGACTTTTTCCGCTGGGGCCGGAACTATCCACGTGAACTTTCAATACAGCCGGTACTTTGCTTTTGGGGAACCGGGCAAACAGGATACAGGGAGAGGAAATAAAAACGCGTGGCGCCGGTTAGAAGAAGGCGAGAATGAGTTTGAAGCGCCTTCCCGGGCTGCTCTGGGGCGGTAAGGAAACAGCATTGAGGAAGCGGCTGCCCTCCGAGCGGCCGCTTTCGCTGGCTTTGCTGGCGGAGGGGCAAGGGAGTTTGCAGATGGCCTCGCCTTTGAAAGCGGGAAAGCGAGCGTCGCCAAGTTTGAGCGATCAGAAAAATAACATTTTGTCCATTGCTGCCGCCCGGGAATTCTAAGTAATGTTGGTTAGATGGACAAGAGTGGTGAGGACACTGGTTATGCATTTGCATGCAGGAAACGGGGATTAGCATCTGCCCTGTTAATTGTATGCAAGTTACACAGCGATCCCAGGAAATAAATGAAGATCTGCTGGGTTGTTTTTTTCAACTTACTGCGTGGGGCAATTTGTGAACCATCACAACTGGGTGACACTTGGAGAAAGCTCCGTCAACGTATTTGGTCTAGTAGTTAAAGCAGCAGGCTAGAAAGTGGGAATTCTGGACTCCTTAGGCATGAAAGTCCTGCTGGGGGACCTTGGGCCAGTTTTATCTCTCAACCTTACTCACTTCACAGGATTGTTGTTGTGGGGAAAAATACACAATATTAGGTATATTTGCTGCCTTGAGTTATTTCTAAAAAGAATAAAGGCGGAATAAAAATAAATATTATTCGATATTAAAGGGAGATAAGAAATGCATATTTATTGTTAAATTATGTGGTGTATCCTGGAGTTGGTGACCTTTTGAGAGCTGTTGCAATGAGATTTCACTTTAATGTATGTCGTATAGTGTACATTTGAAGTGACAATAAAGCTATTCTATTCTTTTTTTATTCATGTAGCTGGCAGGGCATGTGGGTATATTGGCAGCATGTCTTCACGGACTGTCTCCAATCAGATGTTAGGCAGTAGATCTATATTTTTTAAAAATTTAGCAATGAGCATGGAGCAAATTGCTTGAGTACAGTTTTCTCTTGTACATTCACTCTGCGGTAAAGAAGCTAGGGGGTTGTAAAAATCTTGTTCCTTTATAGGATCAGTAATAATGGATAAACATTCCCCAAAAATCATCCAGATCACTTACACTATTCACTTTTATTATTGCATGCATTTTGAAGTGTTTGAGTATAGAACTGGGCAGAGATCTAAATCAAAGGGCAAAATGTGATTTGGAGCACATGTGCACATAACATGCTTTGTGAATCTCTCAAACTAAATACAATCCTTACCTGGGAGCATATATCAGCTGCAAAGGGCAGTTTTAGGAGCCCACCTGTTTTAAGCTGTTTCTGACAATCGTATTTTAATTTTAAATCCAGAAATTTGCACAGATATAATTTGTATTCTTTTGCATGTGGTGTTGAGACTTACCTGGGTTTGGGCAATGCTCAGTATGAACAAAGATGAAGCAAACTTTGACTTATTTTGTAAAATACTTACCCTCTTTTCATTTTTTTAACTGACACCTTTTAAGATTTAGTTGATCAGATTAAATCGCTTTTTGTTTATAGCTTTACCATTTGAATAAAATTAAGCTAAACTATCCAAGCAAATGAGTAACTGTTCTCAATTGTTGACCTAGAAGCATTTATTAAATATCTGGGGATAGAAACAAAGTATCTGGTAGCCACATTAAGTGATTTGTTGAACTGTAGTTATTCAATAAATTACGTTTGGCTGTATTTGCCTGATTTTCTCTACTAAAAAGCATAATAAATGTACTAAACTTATCTCACCATTTTCTGTTTGCACTTTGTAATTTATGGAGTCCCCCAATTGTAAAATGATTCTGCAATTGAGGTTTGCAACCAAAATTGGGTAACTAGAAACCTTAAATAAGGGCTGTCTTGAGTTCACACAGCATTGTGAGTTTAAAAATGGCGACATATAACACTGACATATACAGGCTAAACAGACAACAGCTGGACTTGTACAACATGTAGGTTAACATTTTATGCTATTTAAACAGGGATTTTTAATTTAAAAGATTTCCAAATCTTGAATTTCCCCTTGCTGATACTTTTCTTTCTGTTTTACAGAGGATCCACTCAAGTAAATAATAGGTCAAACTGATAATTTTAAGGAAAGTTTGTTTGTTTATTTAATTTACATGCCACCTGTCTCACAGAGTGATTGGGCATCTTACAGTGCATAAAGCATGAATACAAAAGCCTTAAAAGCATTAACAAGATTAAAACCCAAAATTTACTATCAATAATCCAAATCCAACTGATTTCAATAGGATTTGAAAATTGCTAATTTGCTCCCTTTGAATATTAGAGGCTAAACTCTAGGCTTTTTACTAATAGGAAATCAATTTCTGTATCCTGTTTATTGTAGTATTTTATATGAACCTGGATAATTGTGGATTATTAATAAATC